ATGGTTCTGTTGAGCTTTATCATGTTGAATAGTTGCATTGGTTTGGTTTGATCTTTTCCATGATTTGGAAATGTTGTTGTCTTTCCCATGTTTCTCCATGAAAAAATGCAGAAATAAAAAATTTAGAGATAACAGAGGGCAGAGGTCAAGGAATTTACTCTTCAGCTTTGCTTTTTCCTCCCGATTGAGCTAGCCATAGATAGCACAATAGATATCTCCTTAATTGGAGATACCCAACTAAGGCCTTTGTCCCTTTATTCACTAAAGGCAGAAAGTGGGGGAAAGGGTGATGTTGTTTTTTCTGAGGCTTCTGAGGAAAATAATGCTCCATTTTTTCAGACAATAAATAATGATGTTTTTCTGACAGTTTAATGCCAGCATTACTGAAGAACACGTGGCATTGAGGGAAGACCAAACATAGATTGATCTTTCCTGCTCCTGTATATTGCCTTGAACTTCTCTGCAGAGAAAAAAGCAGCACTTAATTTAGCAAGCTAATGCTGAAAGTGCTTTACAACCTTCATTCAAATAGACCTCAGATAATAATACAGAAATAGGCATATATTAGGGAAGAGCCTCTCTAAGTTACATTCTTTGTTATTCATGTTAATAGGGTCTTGATGCTGTTAGTCATGAAAATAGTCAGATTAGTGTGATACACACATAAGGCTCAACAGTGTGAGAAGTATCTCTTATGGGACCTTCTTATGGCCTGGGCTGGACCAGGTGAAGGCAAGGAGAACATTTGTGCTGCATGTAGCCACCAACTCATTCTAAAAAGGATTGGTCTTGGACAGACCAATAATGTTTTGTTTAGTCTTCCTTATCCTGGATATTTGCAGCAGAACAGAGATAGTGGAGGTTGGCTGGTACATGGACTCTCTGCTCCTGAAAAGTGGAAAATGTTCTGGTGCCTTTTTGTGTGTGTGTTTGTCTTTTCTTCCTTGACAAGGAAGTTGAACCATTGGGATTTGGGTTCAGCTGTGATCAGTAAGACAAAACTTCTGGGTAGGATGTCAGGGGACATGGGAGGGGGAGTGTATTAGTTTTTACTTTGGATTTTGTGTGATACTATTTTTCAAATGAAATCCTTACACCGAGGCTTGTCTCTCTGTGGTTTGCAGAAACAAAGGAAATTATTTGCACAGAATTATAAAGCTAATGGACAGCTTGATAAATATGTTTAGCATAGACACTGTGTCTTGATATCATTTAAGAATTTGCTGGTTAAGTGATTCCTTCTAGTTTACTTCATTTTGTCAGCATTGTTTTCTTATGAGATGGGTGGGTACTAGCAAGTTCTTTTTTGTTGCTTTTATTTGTAGCAGACAACAAAGATATTCACAGCTCTTAGTATGTAGTTTTAGTGTTGAAAAGTACATAGTTGGCAATATATGACCATGGTTGTGATGGGAAATCCTTCATATAAAAAGACAGAGAGTGATTGGGGTGTCTGTAGCCAAAGCACAAGACCAGAGGGCAGGAGGATCTGCCTTCTCTTCTTGGCTAAAACAGTCAGACTCTTTAGATTTTTAGAGTCTAGAAATTTTTGGCACCCCAAGTATAAGGAAAGCAATATTCCACCATTTTTTATCACATAACACTGGATCCATTAATGATCCATAACGTGACGATCTCTCTCAGCGTTGAGTATTGTAGGTAAATGTGGATAAAAGCAGATTTTTGTGTGTCAGCATTAGAGGAGGATAGCTGAGAGACTGGTGTGAGGCTCTTTAAAATTCCAAATTCTTCAGTAAATTACAAATAGGACATGTTTTACAGTCAAGGTATATCAATCTCATGGATCCTGTTGGAAGTTAAACCAGCTGAGAAAAGGCTATGCTAAGATAATTTATTAATTTTCATGGTTATCAGCCTCTGGAATGTTATCAGCAGATTTATGAATTTGCACAGATCTCTCTCTTTACTGCTATGAGAGAACTGCATTTAACCTTTAACTGGAGCTGTAGAGACTTTCTTGTTATATAGATTATAAAACACTTAAAGCATGCTTATGGTAATTCAAACTTAGTGAAACTAGGGGATATGTGAGATAATGTCAGCATGATTGTTCCAAAAAATGGTACATTATGTCAAGAAAATGTTAAATTAATCTTATTCACCTTACTGTGTTAGCCATGAGAACACCTTTTTGGTGTAGATGGTGGCTTTCTGGGTAAGAAAAACCAAAACAACAGAGGTCAAATCTCTGCAACAGGCTCTAAGAATTACCTGTACTTGGTTCCAACATCTTGTCCCTGGTTTGTGCCAGAAGCTGGTGTACATAATAATGATGGCAGTATCTGTCCTGTCCGTTCTGCCCTTTATTGGCTGTTTCACAGCAGAAAGGTGTGGGGGGTGGAGGTGAATTGGCTGGATCTCTCACAGTGAGAGTAACAGGATTGTTTTATTGGTGCAAGTTTATCAGAAAAGCTAAGTAGCCTGAAGAAGGAAGAGAAGCTGGAGGTGAAATACCCAGAGCTCACTTAGGGAAGCAAAGAATGAGAAGAATTTTTGGGCAAGCTTGTAGACACATTACTTTGAATTTCATGATTGCCATTTGTTTCTTAGATGTGTTGGTGCTGCAGAATAGGGGAGAAGTAATTGCTCTAAATATGCTTGAGCCTGCAGTGGTATCAGAAGCAATCTAGTTGAGATTCATGCAGCTCCTTTCATGGCACTCCTTTGGGGCATTTTGTCTGCTTTTCTTAGCCTCCACAGCCTGTAAACCTGTAGTAATACACAGACTTAGGTACTAGGTATAAGCACTCAGTAAGTAATTTTGGATGGAAATACTCCTCCAGTTCTTTCTCAGAGAATTCTTTTCTAGACAAATGACAGAGGAAGAGAACAGTGGGATCCTGACATAGGACAGTGGAGGGTCATGTGCACAAATCCCAACAGTTCAGCAACAGAAGTCACACCAAGCTGTTGGGTACAATTTGTGAACGCCCCTGGTTGGAACGTGAAGTGTATTGCAGGGCATAGGCAATTCATGGTATGGAGGAGATGGGGCAGAAGATCCTAAATCTGAGGAAGAGGTGACTGTTAGAAGAATGTGGTAAGGAGAAGGAGATAAGTGGATTTGAAAATATAAAATAAAATTTGAAAAAAAATATGAAAGGCAAAGGTCTCCTGGTAGTGCAGTGCTTCAGCCTGCATAAGGTAATAACTGCACAACTTCCTTACTAGAAAACATGAGACTGCAAAAGCAGAAATATGGAGAGGCATGTGATGCAGCTGGAAGCAGCATAGAAGTGAGGCACCACTCCATGGCAGTGGTGCGGGGAAGTGAGCAGAGAGAAATAGGGAGTGAGAGCCAAAGTAGCTGTAGAAAGAAGCAGAGAAGAAATGGAGGGGAGAAACTGAAACAGGTCCAGGACTAAGGAGCACTTCACTTCCAGTGAAGGGGCAGAAAGCCCAGAGGGGAAAATTGTGTGGGGTTTTGGGATGTTTTGGTTTTACTGTGGTTTGGGTTTGAATATGTTTGGAGGTTTTTAGTGTGGTTTGTTGTTTTGGGGTTTTTAGTTTAATACCAGTTGGAAAGTAGCTGGGCAGCTATGTATTCTGTGTAGTTAGTGCTTTTCAAGACAATTAGTGGCTTTACTTGTAAGTGTTCAAACTGCAGCCACTGTAAATTTACTGTGAGCAGAGGTAAACAACTGATCAAGCCTCTACAGCCTGAAGCTTCCAGTGGAGGGCAAATACCTAATGAGAGCAAAACCATGAGAAGATAGTCTGTTGAAGGCCTTAAAACCTTGAATAGACAGGATTGATTTGATGATGCAAGTCAAACTTGATTATAACTGGGTCAGACACATGTCAGCACCAGAATTTTAAAAGCAAAACCAAAGCAGGTAACTGTATGTACGCAGAAGACCCATCTGGGACTGGGTTGGGTCCTTATATACATATATATATATATATATATATACATGCAGATTATGCTTCTGTATTCCTAGGATTGTACATGCAAATTGCTGTTTATTCTTCTGTTTATCACAGTGGAAATTCAGCTTTTGCCTGTGAGGCTAAAGCAGGGAATTCAGTGTTGTTTTGTGAGGAGATGTGTTTCCGGGCATGATACTGTCTTCTGTAGTGCCTTTATTAGGCTGGTGTGGAGAAAAAGTTTTTTGTTTGTTTTTGTTCGTGTTTTATTTGAAGAACATGTTTTGCAGGACATTTGCAAACATCCAAACCTGTTGGCTGATATATTTTGCTACAAAACGACCATCATTTTGATGTCAGTGACACTGATTTTGAACAGTAGTTGAGGCAAATCTCCATAGAAGCAGATGGAGTAAGGACGTGCCCGGGAGCAGAATGGGAAGTGTGTTTCACTTGTATTTGCCAACAGGTGTTGTGGATCCTCTCCTGCAGGTGTGGCTGCTCCAGTGCTGCAGTGGTCTGCAGCGAGTTCCATGGTTGTATTCTTACAGAGTTCCATGGTTGTATTCTTACAGCGTTCCATGGTTGTATTCCTATAGAATGGAGTACAGGGAAGAAGACAGATCACCATTTCATTGCAAAGAGGACCCATTTAGACTGTAACAAATTGTACTGCTTGTATATGCTTAGAAATAAAGTGCAAAGTTAGTTATGTTAGGAAACCTTCAGGAAGGCAGGAGGAAAATACTGTACTTTGTGCATTTCATTGGAAGAGTTCCCTCCAACTTTCAATTGAAACATATTTGATTGGAACAGCAGTGGGTAAGCAAATATTAACATTATTAGGCTTGAATACTGAACATTAAATATGAATATCATTATCAGTAATTGAGTGACATTCATTCATATTCCTTTCTATTTAGAAAGGGATTGACTTCTTGGAAAAGTGATAATCTTGTACAGTGACATATACAATATCAGTTAGATTGCTCCCTGTCTTTAGTATCTGGTCAATATTTTACTGTGGATGTGTACTTCTGTGAGGAACAAGTGATACAATAGTACAAAGATGCAGTAGTTCAAAGTTTAAATACTGTGCTTAATTTTTATAGCCAGTAGGAATCAACTTGGTCAGCATTCATTCAAGTCCAAATGATCAGATGTTGTGGGCAATTGATAGCAAATGGAATGTCCATGTGCGAGTTGGAATTACAGATGAAATGCCTGTAGGCACTGACTGGGAACATGTACCAGGTAAAAATTAATGCATCAGTTCCTTGTTGTTTCTGCCATTTTCTCAGTTTTTGTTTTGTTTAGATTTTTTTTTTTGTTGCTTTTTAAATTGAATAGTAATGCTTAAATAAAATATTTTTTCTGGCAGTCAAGTGTTTGATAAGGGTTATCTTTTAAAGAGAACCTTGGTTTTACTTAAAAACACTAAGTAGTTAACTGGGAGAAGTACAATGGTTTTTAGGCTGCTGCCACTGAATTAATAAGTGGTACAATTCCCTTTCAGATAGAACTAAAGCAGAATTCCTAAGCAGTAGGAAACTATTTTGCCATGGAAAGTTTTGTATTTAAATGTGGTATCACACGGGGTTACTGTGTAGATGTGGGTAACAAAAACCTAATGCTATTTTGCACATCTCTCTACTAATCCTGAATGCTGGATGTGTTGTGGATTAGGTAGTTACACTTTTGCCTTGCCTGTAAACAAAACTAAATTTTAGTTGTTTCTTTCTAAATAACTGTGCATTGACACTGTCTGCTTTTTAAAGATTTGTCACTGCATAAACACATGGCACTTAGTCGCAGAGTGCTTGTGAAGAGGCGAAGAAAAAGTCCACAATATCTGTAATATTCACCGGTTTTAGACAAGATTGTAACTGTTGGATTATTCCCCATGTGATAGTAACATACAGTGGAGGCTCCAAAAGTGTGTTACGAAGGTCCTCTAACTGGATGTTACTTGTGGCTGTGGCCACATAATAAAATGTATCCACAGTGTGGCCAATAGATGCAGAATACAAAATACAAACTCTGCAATTAGAAAGCTTTTTCGGTCACCAGTGCTTCATATAAGAGTATATAAAACTATTACGGTCTTGACGTCTGCTCTTAGTGAATTTTTCTGCGAGTATATTTAGTCCCCAGGAAAGCCTGTGATTTTTTTCCTCTCTGTGTCCAAATCTCTGTAGGTTTGCAGGCTTGCCAGCTGGCCATAAGTACAAGGACCGTTTGGGCACGGTGTCCCAATGGAGATGTAGCTCGTCGGTACGGCATTACTGACAAGAATCCTGCAGGAGACTACTGGAAGAAGATTCCTGGAAATGTCTCACGCTTAACAGGCAAGTTGGTTCTGCATGAGAGTCTGTCCAAAACATTGTGATGTCTGCTTTGACTTCTCCCTGATGGTGCTCAGGCTGGACCATATGCAGGGAGAGCTGCATGCTCTGTGAGAGTTTCACTGAGCGTGCTTTTATCACATTAGTAAAAACCTTCTCTGGGTATAATTAGGAAAACAGCTACAAATATTTATTTAATGTTTATAATTGGAACCTGCTGCCTTAATTAAAAGATGGATAATTTCTGCTTTGCAGTGACCCCTCTAGATGAACTGTGGGCAATCAGTACCTCAGGATCCCTGCTCCAGCGCCTCACTAAGACCTTTAGCCATTCCCATAGTTTGCAGAAAAATAATGACACTTCTGTTTTGCTTCACCCTGATGATTTTGAAGATGAATGGGAAGTGATATGAAGTCTCTCAAGCTCGTGAAGCAGTGAAAAAAACAGGACAGAATTTCTGTGATGTATGTACAGAATATTGGATCTAAAAGCCACTCATATTGGACCTGTGATATTAGCACTTTTGTATTGAAAAACTGACCTGTTAAATAGCCCCCAAGCTGTGAGTTCTGATGTTTGTTACATTATCTTTTGGGAGACTCTTTAGATGTGGCATACTGCAATTGTTATACTGTATTACTGTAGAAGCTCCTTTGGAAATATAACCCTTAAGTTAATCTTACTAGCAGTGGAAGTGAGTACTTCACAGCAGCATGCACACTAATGTACTGATTTTGAGAAGGAATTCTGTTGCATTAAATATTTCTCTACAGCAGAAACACTAAGCATTTCTCAATTTCTTCTTGTACTTGGAACTCCAAACTGATGGGATTGCTCTCTGACTGTTGTACATACATTTAGAATTATTTTTCCTTGCAGCATGGAAGAAAATATGGTGAAGTATTTCTTAGTAAGACTTGAGACGATCATGATTACACAGTATTGGTGTTGAAATTAACTTAGTTTGATCCATTTCCACATAAATATTTGCAAGGCTATACTAACTTTCCATTTCTTGAAATTTCGTTCATAATTTGGCTTCATTCACAAGGGAGAAGTTTGGATTACACCTGATATCAGGGGGACTTTCACCCATTTCCATAGCCATCAGGAAGCTGACAGATTTTTGGGGGTAAGTCCCAGTTTGGAATAAGAAGAGGTCGCTTGTTGGGTTTGTAGTACAAAGCAGGAATGTAAAGGCAGCTTTCATAATTCCTGTTGTGCTGTATTTGTGCCTCCAGCCAGTGCTTTAACATTTGGACTCATATTGTTTTGAGTACCAAACTTAGATGTATTAAGAGAAAAAGTGGTAATAGAATTACCTATATATCCCGTTAAAAATTGTGATATTGTGAGAAAATACTTAACAATATTCTGATTTTTAGCTATGTTAGCTAAATTTTGAAGTGTCTTATATTTAACAGAGGTTGCAGCAGGAGTATGTGATGAACTGGGAAGTAACTTAAGTTAATAATTGCAGCTTATTTTTCTTTATACTAAATCTTCTTTGAAAGATACCTCATCTTTTTTAAGCAATAGAACTATAGATGAGAGAACCTGAGTTCACTATGTAGGCAGAGGAGTTATTTTGTGTTTGTTCTAAGCTTATAAATCATCAGAATGTTTTAAGCAGCTGTTAACCAATACTGTAAAAGAGCCAGCTTCAGAAAAGGCCAAGAGTTGACAAGTGGGGATGTTTCTGTTTTGAGAACTTAATACACACGGAAAAGGATGTGTTTTCTTTTGAACCTCTGTTCTCTTTCAGAACAGTTCATGCGTGTACTGCACTAAACTTGGAACAAACATGGTGCAAGGTGAGAATGTGAATCAGTGGAGAGAGAACCAAGTTATGTCACCTTTTTTTTAGTAGCACTTGTGATATTGGCTGTGAGTTCTCAGCCTGATCTCAGTCTTACAGGGAGGACAGATTTGTTTCCCTTTTACAGATGATATGTTCGCTTCTTTCTTGTTCATCTGTATACAGAGATTACCCCAGAGGGTTTTTTTAGCCTGTCTGGCAGTGGATGGTAATGGAATCAGCTTGTGAAGTAACCCAGTATGTTTTATGCAAGCATAGCTTGGTGTCTTGAGGACCCTAAAGAAGCTGAAATTCAGCTTAAAAGTATCTTGTGGCAGCTCCTGAGTCAATCACTTTGGAGAAAGGACACGAGTACTTCTCTGTGCCCTGCCAAGCACCAGATGCTCAAATACAATGGCATTATTTAATAGTGATACTTTTGTATTACATTTTTCAAAGTCATCTTAGTAATGGTTTGAGCTTGCTAGTTGTTTATTTACTGTATAATACTGTTCCTTGCTATGGTCATTAATATTAAATTGATGTCAAGAGCTCTTATCAGACTACTTTTTAGGATAGCTTAAATAAAATTAGGATGGATTTTTTTACTTTTATTTCTGTATTTAGGTTTTTGGTTTTGTTTGTGCTTTGAGACAAGTGCAATAAACTAGATTTTTAAGAAATAAATTACTGTGGTAAGAGTCATCTGTTGTATGATTCACAAGAGAGTTCTCTGTGTCTGGAAACTGTCTTGTGAAAGACAGGCATGCTTATGAAATCCCTCCCCTAATGGTACCCCAGACGATATGGTAATGACAGTGTAAGGACCTGGATACTGTAAAGTTTATTTCATGTATTTTTTTAATTATGACAGGCGTGTCAAACCAGCAAAATGGTCATCTTTCAAGGAAAGAAAATTAAGCACTTCTCATATTTGAATATTAAGCTTGTTGCCTCCATATTAAGATGGTTTTACTGTAATAGAAGTAAACAAATTTCTTTCCTTACATGCTGAACAAAAATTGCATGTTAAATATCTTAGCTTTCAGTGAAAAATATGCATGTGCAGTCCCAGCTAGAAACTGTTCAAGCAGAAAATGGGTGATTGTACCATGTGCTGTAACTGCACCCTTCCTTGAATTTTAAATTATCTGAGGACTTCCTGTGTTTCTGGCCTTTAACTGGAATGCAGCTGGGCCTTACAAGAGAGCACCTTGGCTTCACTTCCCAGAGGAGAGAACTGTTTCCTGACAGTCAGGACCTGGGTAACTTCACACAAGAAAACATAGCAATGATTAATGAGGCTTCTGACTCTTAAACACACTTCCAGCCCCAGGAATCCTGTTCAAATTCAAATGGCAATGTCCTTGCTAATTATCATAGCTTTTATCTTGACAGACTGGTTCAGCTGCTTCTCTGACTCCTACGGGGAACTGGTAGTCTCCTTACAGCACCAGCTCGTGTCTATTATGCAGGAGTAATCCTTATGTCACAGCTTAAGGAAAATGACTGTGATGAGTTGTTGTGAAACAGCCATTTTAGATATATAAGAAACTCTTGATTTTCTTTGTCTCACAGCAATAAAAATGAATAGGATCATGTTAAAGGGTACAAAGAAAATCTTTTGCTAACAAGTGTCAAAGAAAATGCATTAATGGCTTCAGTAAGATAGAAGTGTTGTTATGAAACACTGCTGCTACTAAGAAAAAATATATTGAACACTTAGGTCATTGTCTAAATATAGCTTTAAATATACAGCTACAAAGATTCACATTTCTGTGGCCTTTGTACCTGTTCAAAGAGTGTCTGATGCAATGAACAAGCATTCCCCCTTCTTCTCCACACACTTGTGAACATCAGAAAGTTTGAACTCCATAACTCCACTACGTTACTTTCCAATAGATGAGTCCTGTCAAGTATTTTGAAGGCGCTTGTGGGTTATTTTAGACTAGTGTGGCATTCTGGCTTATATTTTTTAAAAGTCACTTAAATGAGTGAGCTGTTGCTAGTTGTTTCTGCTGGAGTTCTGGGTAGATTTCAAGGAACAACCTTGAGACAGCTTTTCAGTAAATGCTGTTCTGAGTGTAGAGGCTTGAAATTCAAGTGCTTGTATGCCTATGGCTGGGCCTGGGAAGTTAGCAATTAGTAAAACATAGTGTATGAAGATATGGAGATCGCATTACCTCGATGTAAATTCTCTGGTCTTCAGTTTTTACATAACCCGCCCTGTCCAGATTCCATCCCTCCTGTCAGAAGCAGAGAGATAAGATCTGGATTGAGGATTTCTAGTGGCAAAATATGAGATGCAAGCTTTTATTCCTTTTGCAGCCTTTCTGAAAGTTGCGTGTTGGAAACAGTATTATGGTGGCAAGTAGCCAGCAAAGAAAGCTGATGTATCGAAACAAAGTAGATCACCCTGATTGTTTAATAATAAGTTATTGCAGTTAAATAACTACAATAGTAGTTAACCACTCTCACATCAGCAGGACAGAAGAGAACTTGTAATATAGAGGACTAAATTTTAATTACTGGAAAGCGAAAGTTGAGTTGCAGTCATTATCTTTTGTGAATTACTAGAACCAAAGCTCCACTGATAAGGATTAAAATATCTGGATGAATGAAATTATCTCCTTAGTCTGCTGAATAGCAATATCTAGGTTTATCAGCTATGCATTTCTTATCACTTGAATGGGTTCAATGCAGGAAATGTTTTAGAATATACTGTGGCTGGTATCATACTGGAAGCTGTGTAAAATTACCATGACGATTCCTTTGGTTTTTGAGTCTGCCTGACTTGAAAACTATTTAAATACATCTATCAAAGTTGTTATATTAACCATAAAGTTAAAATCCTGCTTGATGCTAGTGGAGGAAAAAAGTATAGAAAAAGTAAAGATCTGTTGAGAATCTTTATGTTTTTACAGATGGTGGACTTTTTATATACGTATATATATGCACATATATAAAAGATTTGCTTTTTGTTCTCTAAAACCTAATACAGTGATTATAAAGTACCAAAAAATACTAAATCTTCCAAACTGAAAAATGCCCTTTCCATCTTGGCCCTCACAAATTACTTTAAAATATAGTGATTTTTATAGTTTTTGATTCTCTGATAGAGGCACTGAATAGTGCACAACTGAATAGCAGTGAGTGGAGCTGCAGTTATGAATTAATCTTTCAAACATTATTCACTATTTCTGATATAGAAGAAACCAGTGTCTTATTTTTCTGTTTTAATATACTTTTTCTCATAGCCTCAGCTGAGATACACTCAGAGCAGATAAAGGAAGGAGACTTCAATTTATAGCACTTCTGTTTTGAATCTCATATCCAGATAAAATATACTTAAGGATGTGTACAGAATTTTATTGATGTCCTGTACTTATTGTCTTGAGTTTGCACAAGTTGACCGTGTCCTTTATTTGTATTCAGTGGACCTGCTGTCTAATCAGTGTGGTGAGCCTTGGCTGGGAGCTCTCTGCTGTTAAGGGGTGTGCAGAAGTAACTTGTGTATGGAATGGAGAAGTGGCACAGGTGTTATGTCTGTTAAAGCATGAAATGAGAATACTCGAGAGATGACTCCTTGCTGAGGCTGCTGTGTTTTGCCTAACTAGGGGCTGGATGAATTTAGCTAAGCTCTGCTGGATCAGGTGAAAGATCAAGCTAACTGGATCTCTCCCAGAAAAAAAATAAAAGCTTGGGAGGAAAGTTCCAGGGAAGCCCCCAGCGGACTGCCTGGCACGTGTGCCTGGCTTACAGAGCAGGGGGATATGTACAAAAGAGAATGAATTTGCTTGAGCTGCAGAGGAAAAACTGCAACTACCAGCAAGAAACCCCACAATCCCCGGTTGTTCTAGGGAACAGACCGGCCAGCTGATCATGGGAAGTGCAAAGTAAGTAGGGTAATTGCTAGAATGACTGAGATTTTACTTGCTCAGCTCCCACGCTTGTCTTGCTAAATCCGTTTTGTGCCTCAGCAGATGGGCTTTAGTCTGTTCCCTCCATGAGCCGCACCCAGCGCTCCAAACTGGGAATAAAAACATGTGAGTGGTGGATCTGCACTTTGTTCCGTGGTGCTGTGGTGCAAGTCAATCCTTTTAAGTTAAGGAGAACATGATAAATGATCAGTGGAACACTTTGAAATAACATGTTTTGCACTGTTGATTCATTTTATAATTGCTGTACTAATAATGCTGACCTTGTTAAAAATCGATGCCATAGGTACCTGTGTGGGAGATCTGTCGGGCTGCAGGTCTAATTAGCTGGTTACTTAAAGTACTGTCAACATGGGGTCTGTTTAAAGCAACAACAAAAACATCTGAAGTACGTGTTTGTCTGTACTAGGAATGGATACACTGGGAAGCTGAGTCTTGTTGCTTTCAGGGCCTCCTAGCTGCTTTTCATACTGTTCTTTGCTTAGTGGAGAGATCTTTCTCCTGCTCTTCCATGCACAATTACATGTTTATGTGGCACCCATACGGAGCATTCCTGGGAGGAAAACTCAGGAGAGTGTAGAGGCAGTTCTGAGCACCTGCTTTCCTTCCTCCCCATCTTCTAATTGCCATAGGACAGGAGTTGAGGTCCAGGGAGGTAGTGAAGCATCTCTTCTTACTTTAATTTTTGTTTAAATAAAAACCCAAAGGTTAAACCAGCAGGTTTTTGTATCAAACCTTGCCTACAGTCCTTTGCAGCATGCTTTTCACCATTCCTGGCTGCTTGCAATATAGTAACTTCTTAAACCCGATTTTAATAGAAGACTTTCAAGACAGAAGGTGACAGATGGTTGGTTGGGTATTTTCTTTTTTTAATGGGCGAGATGAGTTTTCAAAGCATACTGAGCCAGGTGAGCTCAGCTTTCACTTAAAAGGCCATGCTTCATTCAATCCCTGAGTTTCGCAATCAGACAGCCAGTGATTTCTCAAAGCCAGTTTTAGAAGCAGGTTGGCATCTATTTTGCTGTCACCTTCAGAGACCTAAAGAATACTACTGTCTCTGCAGAACTGTGCTGCCAAGAGCCCAGATTTCAGTGTCTCCCTCAGCGTGTTTGTTCTGGGCAGCATGGACAGGCTCGTCACCTACATAGGATTCCCTGCCTGGTGGGTTTTGCCAGCTACTGTGGTGAATAATAGAAATCTTTTGCAGATCTTGGCAAATACGTGGTTTCTTAGGTCTGTCTGTAAGGATTCTTGCTTTAGGTCTGGAGTTCCCTGCTGCAGATCCTAAAGTGAGCCAAGGTGGAACACATCAGTGTAACAGATACATAAATCTCATCCTTGATCAGTTATTACATGTGAAATCTTGTTTATGCTCTCTTCTTGATGAATTTCACCAAATCTCGTGCAATGTTTCATTTTAAAAGTTAAAGAAGTTATCATTGAGGGGAGAAGCACAGCCCTTGTTGTATCTACCATCTACAATTTTTTTAGGACATTAATGAGTGACAATGATTTTCAGCTTGAAATCAGTATTTTGAAATCCAGTGTGTAACGGACCCAAGAATTAGGCCCCTCACCCAGATAATTTGCATATTATTGTCCTATTTACATTCTGCATTCAAGATTCTTACCTTTCATTATTGATCTCTGTTAGTTTTACAGTTACTAACTTGTACAGAGTGAGTAGATGTAAAATAGCAATTCCTCAGATTCTGGAGTGTGTTGTCCTGGGTCACCACTAAAACTTC